CCTTAGCAAAGCGCATCCCAGGCTGCATAGCCGCACTACCCTACCCAACCATACCACACATAAACATGACACTACCCCCGGGGTTTACACAGACGAGCCGGCGAAGCAAGAAGAGCGCCAGAAGAAAGGGCCCTAGCCGGCGGGGCCCAGCCAGGACAAAAGGAGGTCCCACAAAGCGCCTACACCGGCCGCATTTGCGGTCGGGGTAGACGACGGATGGGGCCCACCTACGAAGGCTGTCCAGGCCTACACGAGATGAGGCAGGATAAAGAGGGATAATCCCCCTCGATCCCAAATCATTGAGGCCAATTTCTAGCCATAGAATAATGGCGAGATGTAGCCTTCTAAATATAGAACATATAACCTATTTTTTTCAAATAATTTGAAAACTATTTTTCTTAGAAACTTCAAATTTGGTACACTTATTTTTTTATATAAGGGCAAGGTAAATATAGACTTTGGAGAGAATACATATACAGGATGTTCTATTTCTAGTGTCTGTGCGCCACTGGCTATCCCGTAGCTTTTTTGTGTGTATGCTAATGACGACAGAATTTATATTTTTAAAAATAAGCATTAATTTAGAAGATTTTTTTGCTCTTATAAAATTTTTATATCGTTTATGGATTTCGAGTAAAACTGACATTTTTTATACATAAAATATAGGCAAAAAAATCTGATTTGTAAAAAATTAATTTATAACTGCAGCCTCAAAATAGGGAATAATAATAGAAAAACGTCACATAAAAAAATAGTGTAAGAAAGTCAACATTAACATTTTAAATAAACCTAAATTAATATTTGTAAACATATTAAAATAATTATACAGTAAATGCTCAAAGTTACTTCCTTGTTCTTAAAAGAAAATGAATTTTATCCAATAATTGTGCATTACTTCTCGTAACACTAATTTCATGTTGTGTTCTTTCCCATTATTCGTTTTATGTATTTACTGAAAAGTTATAAACTGGGGTCCACAACGCTCCCCAAAGGAAATAATTACATGGGTTTAGGTCCGGGGATTGAGGTGGCCATTTTAAAGGGGCATTATTTCCTATACCTATCCACCTGTTAGTATAGTAACCTGTGATAACTGGTCTTTTAATACTCTATTAACGGAACTTTTTCCGCTAAACGCCTTTTATTTACTTGAGAAATTTCTTTGACCCTTTCCAAAATTGGTTCCTCCAGCTGAATAGTTCCGGCCGTACATTATCCACGATTTAATGTTACAATTAAAAGTTGTGATTTGGAATTCTGCGATTAGGAAAAATCAGCAATAATTTCCTTCACAATAACCCAAAACTAATAACATCTGTTTGTTCAGCAAAAGTATAAATTGCAATAAAAAACAAAGTAAACTAAAAATAAATCACAGCTAGCTCGACACTGAACCTTTTAATTATTGTTATGAATTTGTTTCTTTGTTATATGGCACCTCGTACTAGACTATTGTATTTATTTTAAATTAATTTTATATTATTTAATGTGTAAAAAATGCCCATTTTACTCGAAATCCATAAACGATATCAAAATTTTGGAAGAGGCAAAAAATCTTCTAAAATAGTGCTTACTTTTAAAAATACAAATTCTGTCGTCATTGACGAACACACAAAACTCCTGTATATGTATTATTACCAAATTCTATATTTACATTGCCCTTATATAAAAAACTATGTATACCAAATTTGAAGTTTCTAAGAAAAACGGTTTTCAAATTGTTTGATAAAAACTAGGTTATGTGTTCTATATTTTATATCTCAGTAGGCGTGCATTTTTGTAAACTATTCAACTTACCGATTCCAGATTTCGTGTGAGTTATTAGACAGTGATAAGGAATGAGAGGATGCTATGCCAAAACGTTTATAAATGTTTAATTCAAAAGTCATAAATAAACTTATTCTGTTTATAACTTTTGATCTAATCAATATTTTTTGACGCTCGAGGGCTAGTTTTGTAGGTCTTTTGAAGACGAAAAAAGTACTTTACTGTTTTCTCGTGGAAATGAACGGAAAAAAGTTATAAGTGAAAAACGTGAATTTACGTAAAAATTATACAATTAACCACCCTGTAAACAATCTTCCCCCAATTTTTATGACTGTGGAAACTAATATGTTATTGTACATAATATTTAGCATCTATAGTGGTAAATTCAGCTTGCCGAAACAAAAAGTAACGAGATGGTCATTTTCCAACTTAATTCCTGGCCTATAAATAACCGAGTGATTAGTGCTTGTCATGTCATTTAAGTAAAAGTGTTTTCAGTTGTTTTTTTTTTAAGTTTTACTCGAAAATCAGACCTTTTTCGAAAAATATAAGAGTTGTATCTCCCCCACTGGAGCATGTAAATTTTTGGAAAAGCCCTCCTAGATAAAAACTTTATAAGAAAGACTCCCTTTAAAATTCACCAAAGAATACGAGGTTCCATTTGTGGTCATCAATAATTGTGATCACTCGTATATGAACGGCAGAATAAAACGAATTAATTCCTTTCAAGAAACTTTTTAATAATGTAAAAGCCTAAAATTCGTCAATTTACTTTTGGGCTAGAAATGAAACTATTCCAATTCTAAAAAACATGTGGTACCTATTTACTAAACTTATAAAATTAAATTGCTTTGAGGATATGTAAATTGATATCGCTCTGACGCATCATACTTTACATAACTTTTAACTCGTAACAAACTTACCTGCTGCTCGCACACATTCTCTTTGCTCCCGCTTCTTTTATAATCCGAGTAACTTTCAGCGCATTGTGCCAAACTTCTTCGCAAAAGTTCCTCGCTAAGAACGCTGCTGCTACCAGATGGCGTGGACGTGCCTCTGTGCGACGCGGCGTTCCTTAAAGCTTTCAGGATATCCTCGTGGTAGCCGTTGAGGGTCTTGAGAGTTCGCTCGACCTCAGAGGGTCCAGAACCACTGATTAGTTGGGCCATGCTGGCTTCCGCCTGGCTCATAATGTCGTCCGCTTGAGCTCCGTCCCCCCAACTGTCCTTACCGTCACCCATCATCATTCCATAGTCGTGCTTTTTCAGGATTCCCTTCTTCTCGGGAAGCTTAAGGTTGTTGTGCTGGAGGTCGATGAAAGAAACCGATTCTTCTTCGCCTGTTGCATAAAAATACGTTAAAAGAATTATGGAAATGGTCAAAAATATAACAAGTCTGTGGCATTATGCAAAACAAACTTTTTAATATTGAAGAAACAAAATCGGAATGTTTATAATGTTCATAATAATTTAGATGTTTAATAATGACAATATTAGTACCTATAGTAGAAATGGTATTTTTGTAATTAGTCATCGCGATTTATTTTTATAATAAAATTTGGTTTACCTATTACTTCGCGGTCGAAATTATAGGGAATGACTCAGACATAATATAAAAACACTATTACCATAAAGCGTATAAAATATAAAATGATTTTTATAACGGTTCAATATTATTTGTCTTGTATTAAATGATATGCTGCTCTCTATGCACATAGATAAGATCTATAATCGTCTATACACTAAGTTACACTGAACGTCGATGTATCTCCTGTCTCTGTCTATTGCACTTAATACTTATAGGGAAATGCATTTTTAGTGGGTGTAAACAGACGTTCGTAGCACTTTATTTAGCCGTCGTTAGAAACGCCATAGGATAAGCGTACGCGAGGGTGCTCATTAAAGTTTGTCAGGATGGTAATGTGAACAGTAAGATAGGAGCATTTTTAGATGGATTTTTTACTGGATTAAAGGCACTTTCTAGAAAAGGACGAAGCGATACGGTCTTTTCAGAAAATGGTTTGCATGTATTTGAGTCACGAAAAACGGGAGATTATCATGAAGATGTGAACAGTGACGTATTTGAAAAATGGTTTGAATGTGTTTATCACATCTAGAGCCAGGAGTAGTTGTTGTGATGAATGACGCACCTTATCATAGCAGAAGGCTCGAAATGGTACCGATATCAGCATGGAGAAAAGCAAATATTATAGACTGATTAAAATTGAAAAACATTCTATATACTAAAAGTACAATTATTAAAAATTGCGGAAATAGAAAAAGATCAATACATTAAGTATGTACCTAGTGGATGACATGGCCAAAGCTCGAGGAATTCGTATACTCCATTTACGCCATACCACTGTGAATTAGACCCAATCGAGTAGGTTGAGGCACAAATAAAGTATGAAGTTGCATGAAAAAACACCACTTTTAAAATAAACGAAGTGAAATTATTATTACAGGAGGCTATGAATCATGTCACTGCTGAAACATGGCGTAATTGTATTGAACATGCACAGAAAGAGGAACAACGATGTGTAATCCTGATACAGCAGTATTCACTGAACCACTTATTATTCATTTAGGGGAAGATGATTCCAGTGATAGTTATAGCAACAATGAGAATTACAGTGATATGTGAAAATTTCCCTTTACAGTGACAGTAAAGTAAAAATATGATAGTGATGGGAATATGTGGCAGTGAAGTGAAAGTGTGACAGTGAAGGGAAAATGTGACAGTGATAATATTCGTGTGAGATAAATTATTATAAAATATGTAAGTACTTAAATATATTAATAGTCAACGTTACATTATCTTGCGGCGGCGTTAAAAACAAAATGTTGCTAAAATATTTTCTTGATAACATCTCTAAAAATAATAAATGTTATGTTTTATTATCTTTTTTCCATATTTTCTATATTTTGTTGCCTTCTAAACAGACACGCCTATGGATTTTCGATCCCCGCACGCTTCATCCTCCTTACTAGTACAAGAGCTAGTCATGAGTCACTCTTCATAATTTCGACCGCGAAGTATAATAGCCTACATTATTTGTAAAAGACTAAAACGGAAAAAAAAATTAATTTGAAAAAATACAAAGATGCCACTCTGGAACATAAATTTACATACTTTTCAAAGAAAAAAAATTCCACTCTTTTTCAAAAAGTACTTTTTTGGTTTAAAAATCAAAAAATACCCCAAAAAACTAAAAATGTATTATTTTTATATATATTTTTTTATAAAACTACATCTCAAAACGAATGAAATGAAAAAAAGTTTGATATCTTTACTTTTTGCCAAGTTATAGGTACTGGAAATTTTTTTACCGAAAATATTCAAATGCTCATAAATTCTTGAGGGGTTGAAATAAACATATGAAAAAATTCATGAAAGTTACTCTAAATCGGTACTAAATGATACAGGAAAATTTAAAATGGTCCGGTCACGACTTCAGTGATTTGGCTTGGACTGCCCTATATACTAGTGACATTAATTTGAATTGTTGGCATTTATATTTACATGTATGTATGTATATTGGTACTGCTGATCAAAATAATGATAACTTAAGTTATTTTAATATAAAGCTGTAAGCAACATCTGTAAGAAATATATCACTTTGGAATTAAAAAATTAGCAGACAGTATTGATTTGATTTGAATTGTGGGTAGTTAAATGAATAATAATAACCTGAATGTCCTTGATCGTCCTCACTAGCCGAACCCACTCCCATCCTTTTGAGTTGCTGCATTTTATGTTCCCTATAGACACAAAAATATGTTGCAAAAATCATTTACTAATAATTGAAATATATATACACAGTGTGTCCCCGAATGGAGTAGTAAACTTGTAAACTCTTGTAAAGCCTTACTCTTGTAAACTTTTTATTAATGATTTTCGAGGAAAAGTTATTCTTGATAAAAAGTTTTGCTTATCTTGGGAAGCCATGAGTAGTAACCAAATATATAATAAAACATACAGGGCGTCCAAAAAATTTCAAAATGTGAAATTTTCTCCAGGCAAAGCGGCTCTAATTTTCGTTTTTATTAAAAAATGTATTTAACAAAGTTGTTCGAGAACTCAAGGAATGCTTAAATACGCGGTTTAGCCAAAAAAGAACAATAATCACATTTTGCAAATAAAAAGACGCTCCAATTTTTAACTATCTTAATACCATATAATTATCATGGATATTTCCTTATCAATGTCAACATATTTATTATTAACTGCCCACCGAATAATTTTTATTAATAATGCTAACCCTGGAGCTACGAATTTATCTTGCGAAATGTTATGGAATCGGTAATGTTTCATATACAATACAAATTTTTAATCAAAAGTATCCAAATGTAACTGTAACTAACTCGTAGAGCAGATCGCGAGTTAATTATAAAATCCGATACCACTGGTGATATAAAGAATATTAAAAAGATAAAAAAAGAGTACAATGATAAGGAGCTGTTATTATTGTAGTTATGGACTCTGTACATGACAATCCAAAAATTTCACTCAGGAAAAGGTAAAAACACCTAAATATTAATAGATCAACAAAATCTATCCATACAAACCAGTGTTTAATAATAAGTTCATGGAGATGATGATCGTCGTTTGGAGTTTTGTTTAACAATGGGCGAGAAATTGATTGATAACTAATAGTCAAAAATTTAATAAAGTAAATGTCTGGCGTGGCATAATAAATCATAAAATAATTGTCCCTTACTTTTTAGAAGAAAATCTTAATCTTAATTCGTATTTGGAAATTCTCAATAATTTTGTTTTGGCAGAAATAGATAGCGAAAATTTAGAGTTCAGAAGAAAACTAACATTTCAACAAAATGTTTGCCCTGCATATTCCACATTTCTAGTGAGAAAGTGACTTGACGTTCACTTCCCGAACAAGTGGATCGGACGCTATCGACTAATATCTTGGCCTGCAGGGGCGCCCGACTTGTCCCCATTAGATTATTTCTTATGGGGATACAAAAAGTGTATTCAAACGATTTGACGATAACATTGATTTACTTAAGCAAAAAATTCAAAAAGCTGTTACCACCATAAACAAAGAAATTATCTTGTAGTGTTGTGTACAAGGAATTTAGAAAAAGATTAGAAAAATGTGTATTAGTTGGATATTTACAATAACTTGAATAGGACTTACATCGTTGTTGTTGTTAATTCCAGTATTAATTAGTTATTTCTATTTTTTTATTAGAAAAGCTACTTTTATTTGGTTTGCAGGCTACCGTTGCAGCTGTTAATGGTAGAACAATTCTGAGACCCGTTGCTACGTCGTCGGTTTAGGTTTCTGAACGTTGCGAGAGACATATCGCTCTTTTCAAAAACTCGAAAACTTTCAGAGTTACTTCTGAGGCAGAGAGCGATATGTCTCTGGAAACGTCAGGAAACCTAAACTGAAGACATGGCAACCAACCGGAAAATTATTATTCTACCAAGCTATTTTATATTATATTAAATTTAAAATTACAATTTCTGTCTGCTTTAAGTACCTAAGATAGTTTAAAATCGCATCTTCTTATTTGCAAATAGGTGACTATTCCTCTTTTTTGTCAAAATTTCTTGAGCATTTGAACAAATTTAATAAATACAGTTTTTAACGAAAACAAAAATTAAAGGCACTTTGCTTAGGAGAATTTTCACATTTTGAAATTTTTGGACGCCCATGGCTTCCTAGGATAAGCAAAACTTTTCATCATGAATAACTTTTTCCTGAAAAATCAACAATAAAAAAGTTTACAAGAGTGCGTTAGCGCATCCGGGGACTCTCTGTATATATATATCATATTTCGAAAATATATAATTTAAATCTAACTAGGGTAAACCACTAACTGGAAATGCGAGGGTCCTCCAGATCCCATGTGGTTGGATGGTCGAAACAGCACCCTTTGGGAGTCTGCTCGGCTAATAAAAAATAAATTGAATTTAATCGCAATTCTATTTTTTTGTATCTATACAGAAATAGTATTATTACTATAGCAAGTTTTGTTGAGATCATGCAACTGTTCTATACAACCTTGCTGTAGTGTAATACCGTAAAATTCTCAGCTTGAAAATTAATAAATAAGTTGTCAGAGAATGTTATCATATTCACACTCAGAAGTCTGGATCCAAACATGTCGGCCTGAAATACAAAAAACTTATAAAAAAAGAGAGGAGATTGGAGGGACAGTTGGATCCATTGTCCTTAAAACTTAATTTTAACATTACAATTGGCCGAGGAAAACTCGATTTTTCAGTAGGTGGCAGCTGAATATCTAGTAAGCTAATATGACCAATGTATGGATACTTGTAAGCTGAGTTAGCTGATTCACTTTAAAAGCGAGCTGAATGGTCTATCACAAAAAGCAACTGTAGATGTGGCAAGAATATAAAATTTTGTTAGGTACTTTCATTAAAATAAATGAAATTACATTTCCTGCCAAATTTAAAGTTGCCATATAGACCATCTTTCAATGGAACGTGAGCTTGTTTATTAATGTAATTTTAACTTACGTTATAATTAATTTTCAAGCTTTAAAGTTTGTCTAAAAACTGAGCACTGCTTAGGTATTACAAAGCTCAAACTAATGAGCAAACGTACTAGATGATAACAAACCTAATGAAGACGCTTGCATTCATGAAGTTTTGCAGTACATTGCAGAAAGTAATAGAATGTTCATTCACCTCCTTTCACACAGGTGTAGTAGATTAAAGAGGGTATATATTTCTTGTTAACAGTGGCGGGAGTATTAATGTATATTTAATAAAAAATAGCCAGTAGTAGAAGATAATATGTGAAAGATTTACGGATGACGAAGATAATTGGCATGCAACATAAAAATAAAAAAATATATCATCAAGAAAATAATGTAATAAACTTTGAGGGCTGTTTATTTTCATGAAAGTAAGAGAATAGCTCTAAAAGGGTAAATACGGAACTTTATTTTGCCACAGCTATAAACAAAATGTGTTCTTAATAAAAGGATTGTCTTTATGAAAATGTTGGCTCGGTCAAATTGGCTAAAATTGTGTCAAGTTGTTGGTTATGTGTTACTGACCAAAAGTCTCCACATTACTTGGATCCGAAAATCAATTCTTTCCTACTTATAGCAGTCTGAGTCAGTTCTGCTGATGATGACTGCAAAGTAGTATGAGGAGAGTATTGCAATAAAAATAGTAACTTTTGTGAAGCGTTTGTAGAAAAAATTAATCGGATGACATCGAAAAACTAATTAACATATGTGACATATGCCAAATACCAAACTGGCCGTATTGACCGTTGGCAACAGTAGTTTGTAGATTGAATTCATACATCTCTCAATTGAATGCAATATCTTTAAGACTCAATACGTGAATTGGATAATAAAATAAATCTTATGGTTCAAAAAGTATATGGTGCTACTTTCAGAGCCAGAGTGATCTAGGTTTTAATATGAGACTGTTATTCTCTACTTCCTCCTTTTCTATCTAGTTTAGTATTTGGCACATGTCAACAATGTTAATTAGTAACTTTTCTATGTTATCTATAAACATTTTACACAAAGTACTGTTTTTATTGTAATATTCTACTCATACTACTTTGCGGCTATCATCAGTAGAACTGACTCAGACCGCCATAGGTACTGACTTTTGGTCAGTAACGCAAAACCAACAACTTATCACAATTTCAGCCAATTTGACCGAGCCTACATTTTCATAAAGACAGTGCGGGGTCCTACGTCATATTAAATCTTACAAAAAATGTTATAGTGTTGAAATCAATTTCATATACGATTTTGGTGTAGGTGAAGAGTATTTTCCATTACAAATCGTTTATTTTCATTATTGAAAAATACTGAATAAAGAAATACTATTGCCTCAAATCGGCAACTCAACGTTTTAAAAATATTTGGGCAAAAAGGTAAAAGTTATTATTTTTTACCTTTACATGGAAATTTCTAGACTTGTGCAGAAGAAGCAGTGGTATATTACTATCCCATATGCCACATTTGTGTCCAGGAACTCATTATCCTAACCAGTAACCACCATTCAGCTTAGTAATGCGGGAAATGTAATTAAATAGAGGGATGATCAAACGAATTTTGAAAAATAAACGAGTTGTGATGGAAAATATTCCTTATCCTCGCCATAATTGCCCGTTTCGAATCGCATATGAATTTTATTTCGAACTATCAAAGTTTGTGGAAGATTTAACATTTCTTTGAAAAACACATTTTGAAACAACTATGACGAAACAAATTCAGCTGTTTAATTTATTTTTTAAAGGGTTGTAGAACCCCTTTAATACATTTTAGACTATATCCATAGAAACTTTTTCTCATATTTTCGCGAATACTATCAATATCCCAGTTTATTGCACTATTTTTTTGGTATATTTGTAACCAAAGATTGTTCCGCTTATAGTTAATAGTCTTTTTGGAAGTAGTGCCATTTACGCAGAATAAAATAAACATGTGTCATTCTAGGTACTACAAGTTTTTACTATAGTATTTTTAAGTACTGAGCCATTTTTTATGTACAAAAAAACCAATCAACATTTTTTAATTTTGAATGTCCTCAAAAACTTACCCAAACGATGAAACACTTCCAGGACCAAGCGTTAGTATCTTGTTAGCATTATCTAAACTGTCCTCTTGAGAATGATTGCCTGTGGTGAGGATGTAGTTTTTCGGGATAGGTTTTTTGTAAGCTTTCTCATATTTGCTAACCGTCGTCTTCCTTCCAGTTGGAAATTTACATAAAAGAAAGGAGAGGGAAAGGGAAACCAAAAACCGCATTAGTTTTGCCTCGAATAAAATTTTGGTCGAAATTTTTCATGTAATTTGAGTTTCTGTCATTTATTTTACGAAATTGCACCAATTAAATGTATGCGGTAAATGCTGATGAAAAATCGAGCTGTATATTATACAGTAACGAAGATGTGTATTCATTAAAACAGACATTGTACAATTTGAATAACTATTGATCTAAAAACAGAAAGTTTTACTAAATAAATTTATTAATAACATTATTTATGTACAAAAAAAAAACTAAAGTGCAATTCTGATATTAATGCAATTCAAATTACATGAATTTTGATAACCATAAGTATGTTAAAACAGAATGTTGTACGTAACAACGAATGAGACAAAAATGTAGTAAACTTCATGCTTTACACGACTTTAGTGTAGGTACATAAGGTACCTAGATGTATGCAAATTAACAGATGTTCATTAAAAAACCTTCTTCTGCAATATTTTTTAATCAGATGAGGCAATAAAATAATGTAAGTACTTTTATTATATTCATCGTCTATTTTAAAAGTTAACACGCTGACTTTTAATTGATAAAAAGACAAAAGAAAGTAAGAAAGCTACTAACGTTTTTAGAGAAAATTGAACGTGTTCCACAAAGTTTCGTTTGTTGTGTCTTAACCTTAATATGAAGCAGAAAGTATTTACAGTTGAAATGTAATAGCCTTATATCCAAAATGACATGAGATTAAATACACAAAAATAGGACGAAAATAATATTGTTGGCACAATATCTAATGCCTTTAAATGCTCCAAAATTTTTATTATTCTTGGTGTCAAATAGGAATAGGAGTGAGGAAATCACAGTTTAAGCAAAAAGTTTTCTATGAATGCTTTTGAAAAAAGTGAGAGAATAATAAACTAATACGTAATACGTAGAAGTGCTACGTTGTATAATGTAATCGATATTTTATGAAAAAAAAAAACTTCTTTACAGCCTGCATTGCCGCCACTATCAAATGAAAAAGCTGTTGTTCCATAAGATTCCAGCAATTGATAATCTAAAACTTGTAGGTGTTAGATTTTGCAATTACAGCTATTTAAACAAATATGGCAGTACATGTTTATCATCCTGAAACTGTTTTCTTAAACGTTTTCAGGACAAGGTTCATACGAAAGTTTTTGCTTAAAATTATATTCCTGAATCTTGTTTCTGTTTGGTACTTATTTTAGAAACATTCTGTACATTATTTTGTAGTTTTCAAAAGTTGCCATCTATTTTACCAACAACTTTCAAGTTGTTCAAAATATACAGTGTTTCCATAAAGTAATGCATAAATTCGATAAAGTATTTTTTTTGGGGAAAAACTATCAATTTTTATAATCATCTTAATAGAAAGTGGTTCTGTTTTAATGTTTTATTTTATTTTTCTCTTAGTCGTTAAGTATTGTTAACACTTTATGCATTTATATGTCAACTGAATTGGAAAAGAAATTTATTTTGGTTGCTAAGATTTCTAATAAATATCTTAAATGTTATATTATTAAACGAGTCAGATAAATTTTCTATTTTTTTAACGCAGAATATGCGGGAAAGGCCAAATTCAACACTTTTCTTCTACTTCCCGAAAAAATTGTTAAGATGTTACGGGCTCGATTTTCAATAAAAGTTGAATGGCTAAACCACATCTCAATATTTTGGTTCACTTAAAAGATAGGTACATGATGTTTTTTCATTTTTGGTCATCTTTTCATCTTTTTAAGTCATCTAATAATTTTTTTTATTCATAAATATTTTTTAGTGTAGACTAGAATTCGTTGGTATTTGCAATATTTTTCTAGGTTATATATTTTTTGAAACATGATACTTTATATATTTTTCATTTTTTTAAATTTCCTTCCAAATTATTAATTTTAAGTCATTTTCAAAGTAAGAAAACTACTTCTAATTCAACTGTTTTATATATTTTTTATAATTTTATATATTTTTAAACATAATACATTATGTATTTTTCAATATTTAATATTTGCAAAATTTCCATTCATATTACACTTGTCATTCATAAAAAAAATTTCAAAGCAAAAATGCAAAAACTATTTATAATTCAACTGTTTTGTGGACAGTTAAGTACACTGTGCATTTTTCATAAATATATCCATAGCACATTTAATTGTGTGAGGAACTAAGAACAATGATAATAAATTTTCATATTATTACACAAACCCTACTGATAATAATTGAATTGATTTTTTTTGCACAAACATCATTTAAAGGAAAATATTCCGCTGATTTCAGAAATTGAAAAATATGTAGTGTTACATAAAAAAATGATTCCACGCAAGAAAAATTAATAGAGATCCTATACAAAAATAAAAAATGTTCACAAATAAAAAGGTTTTTCGACCTAAGAAAAATGGATAAAATAATAGGTATCTCTCAAATGAATCAATATATCAATATATCGAGATGCGATTTATTCATTCATCTTTGTTGAAAATCAAGTCTCTCATATTTTAAATAGTCTTCCTATCTTTTTATGGCAAACGAGAAACGCCTTAAATGTGTCGAATTTGGTCTAATCAGTACAACTATGGCATAAAACCTAAAAATTAAAAAAATAATTATTCACGAGCTTCAAAATGATCATTCATTATGGCAATTAAAAATAAAAAATCGATCCCTCCGAATGATCTCAGATATCTTCAAGAAAGAGTTAAGTGTCAGATTTTTATTGAATTTTTGCTTAACTTTATGGATGTAATATAGATACCAATAACACCTGATTCAATTCACAAACTCATCTGATTAAAAAAATTTTACTTATAAAATGCATACAAAGTATAAGAGAATTCGAAAACTAATTGCGAAATATCCTGATGAAACTGAAAATATTAAGTTATGAGAAAATATCAAACAAATTTTTCAATGTTTAATTTACATAAATAAAAGCGCAGGCACAATAACACATAATGACAATATAGGTGCGAGTTATATAAAATTTTGTGTACTGTTGTAATTGTTTACTATGAGGTCGTGCTGCTGATCAAAAAGAAAACAAAGATGTGAACGTTTCGTTTGGTAAAGATATTTTGAGTTATTATCAACTTGGAAAAAAACATTCTACTTTGAAATACATCTTCAAACATACGATAACATCAAATAATAATTTCTTTGCTTTATCAATTGATGCAAAATTCAATTCTAACGTAATATATTCTACAAAATTAATATCTTTTAAATTAAGGGCAATATAAAACGGTTTTTCGCTTATTGTCAAGCAGATAGTTATTCAATTTATTTTTTCTATTCTATTCTTTAGTCAGTATTTCTGAAATTTTAATTTAAATACACAGGGTGTTCCATTTCCTCGTGAGTCAATCTGTATATAAATTTTTGAAGTGTATAATGAAAAATTTGAAGTTCTGTCGATGCTATTAAGGCATTACCTTTTTCCTACTATTTTCGAAATAATTTAGATTTTCTACAATTTGCTGAATATGAATAGCCCATAGTTTTCTTAACAGAAATAAATTTGTTGTTATTCAACATCGTGATATTCTCAGGAAAAAGTGAGGCACTGTTTATTTATCTCATGTACCAATATTGTTATTCTATAATAAAATACATTGCTAATATAAGTAATAAAGTTTTATGTAGGTAGTTACAAATGATTTAAAATCATAATTAACCCCATAATTCTAGTATCGTACATTGAAACTGTATGCCACAGAAAGATTTTTTAGCAAATCATTAATAACGTACAATATCCTCCTTGTTGCATTTATCGAATTTTGTATGTGCAGCTTTGCAGCACGTCAAAATAGTAAACAAATATCAGACCCAACTCTGCGTGGAAAAACATATGTAATAAAAGCGAAATATTGAGTGAGAATTTGTGTTCAGTAGGTTTCTATGATAGTGTGGGGAGAGTCGTTTCTGTTTCAGTATGAAAGTGAAAATAAGGAAGGGTTGACAGGTGGCAAACACTCTGCTCACATCCAAAAAGGCACTATAGCGGCTAATAAACTTAGATACAACCATTTGCACATGTAATATTCACATATATGCACAATATCCACAAACTGTAAAATGGCAAGAACTGTTTACATGCAATATATATAGCAACTGTTTCCTTCACAAAATATCTCTCCTGGTATACCCCCGATTTTATAGTTGTCAAAGAGTGCACTCAGCAATTGTTATTTATTTAAATTGATTCCTGAAACTGGAAAATTGGAAGGGAACAACATTCTCAGACAATATAGGTAAATATCTGCAACAACACCAGATTTATTAATGTGAGGGGAATTAAACTTGGAAAAATGTAAAAATTGTAAGTTAAAATTAACATAAAAAAGATTTTAAATAAAAAATCTTATCGAGAAATTGACGAAACTCATTCGTTTTTATTTTACTGTTGATTTAATTATAAAATTATCGCAACTTCTTTAGTAGAGAATAGGATTATATTCGCTGCATTAGCAAATATTATAATACAAGTAAAAATATATATCAAATAATTAATTTCAATGTAGACCATCTATTGACTGAAGTTACATGTGAAAAAAAATATAAAGCAACATTTGCGCCAAAAGGATGTTGTTTTTATAAAATAATTTTTGTCAAAAAACGCAGACAAATAAAGTATACGAAATGGTGACAATAATTCAAAAAGAAAGTCAATTTTTAGTCAGTTTAATTTTCGAAATGTAGATTATCGCAAAGTAATATAATAGAGTCGTGCATACTTTTTATTTCCCTATTTTTTTTCAGTGCGAGATATTAGGTTAGGCATAAAATATTTTCATAAAAACAATTCTTGGCTTCTCGTTTGCTGCAAGAATTATTTAATAATTTTATTCACAGGTGGTAAAATAAACAAACAATTAGAGAAAATTCCCATAAATTTGCAATTTGCTACATTTTGGTAACTATCATGTTTAATAACAACATATAGATAATTTTTTACAATGAGTATATTTACT